TCCAGATTCCATATTGTGATTTAGTGAGAAGAGTTTCAGAGTATCAGATTCGATCCGGGCTAAGCAAAGTATATTTAGATTAATAGACTGTGCCCTAACTGCCTCGTTGGCCTAGCGGTCGCAAGTGCAACTGCCAGGCAAGGGGTCTCTGGTTCGATTCCTGTGTCGGGCAAAGCATTACTGGGTTTTTAAAAATTTTCAGTAGTAGCACGGAATTTGGAATTGTGCCCGATATATGGCAATAGGCTCACCCCCTATTTCATGGGACTCATAACATGAAATAGTGAAAAGTGGCACAATGTGCAGCTCTGTCTACCCCTTCGGGGATAAAAGGCGTGATGTTATGTGTGAGACTGTGCCCTGTGTTTAGGCATAAGGTGGATGTTGTGATGTAAACGAATGGTATAGAAAATACCATATTATAAAATATAATACTACTATACTCCTCTTCTTCTTTGGATACTCCATGTCTCCTGTGGAATCTCGCCAGCTTCAGCAAATACACTTTTGTCCGATTGCAATGTGTTTACTGGCCGGCACTGCTGTTTAAATTAAACTCAATTTGTGGGCAAGTATTTGTTGTGGGACGAGGTCAAAGCAGTTATATGGGATTCAACTGGTGATTTGTTATTGTAAACTGCACTTTACTTGAATGATTTCTCTGGAAATATATTAAAAGTCAAACTTATTATCTATACGGACAAAAAAATTGAAGTGTCTGTTTGTAATATTAAAATAATCGCGTTTTACTACATGCACATGAATAATGAATATACATACGAAACACTCGTCTGTCTATTTATATGTATGGGCTAATCTCTGAAATGGCTGAACCGATTTACTACGACTAGCCATAAATGTCCAATGTACTAAGAAACAACATACTTTTATTTTGGAAAATTGAAACATAAAGTTATGTCCTAAAATTCATATTCTACGCGGACGAAACCGCGGACAACTGCTAGTTTAAACTATAGCAATACAAGATCTGAAACTATAAAGGTATTTCTCTAACAAAATAGTTTCATCTACGTGACCTTTAATAAACCCCAAAAAAACATTCCACCCACAAAACCAACCACAAACCAAAAAATTGGCACTACCATCACAAATTAAAACAACACGCTTTGTTAAACACTAAATACAGACAGACGGCAATCTAAATCGCAGAGAAAAATACCTGCAGGCCAGCGGGTCGGTATCAAAGTGAAGATCCGTTGTGCATAGGGCAGAGATGTCGTAGATAGTGCTGGGGACGTATTCAGACTCCAGTTAGCATTCAGAAAGATGCCGCGGGCGTAGGCGCGATAACATCTCTGCAGTGAGCTGTGACAGATGCGGTGTGTATGGAAGGTCTGTGTGGCGAGCTGGTTGTGTTGATGTGTGAGGTAAAAAGTGTGTGTGATTATGGAGATTTGTAGCACGTTTTAGGTGATTTTTATTGGTATTGGACATTGTAGGTTATATGTAGTTAGTTTGTTTCTATTTGTTATGAAGCTTACTCTTAAACCGTGGAGTATCGGAACGCAGATCTACGCGAGACGCAAAGTTCTTCTATTGCGTCGCATATTATCGATAGATAAGAGGTTAATTTGTGACACACATCTGGCAAATATTATTGTATTCATCATCATCATCATCATCACAATATTATTTATCAAGTACTGGCCACAATTCTAAATTTAACAAGAATATAATTTACCCAGGAATGATTTTAAGAGCCCCAAGATAGCATTTACTCAGACTTTCATCACTTAACTCGTCGAGTACCGGTTTTGCAGACACAATTATAGAACAATAGGTTGCGGTCACCGGTGACCGCTTGGTGTTTGACAGTTTAATAAAACATTTTTAAAACTCCTTTTGCGCGCTATCTTTCTCACCCGTATGTCCGTCCACTATCGCTATTCAACCGACATCCTACAAAGGTGAATTGGCGGCAAAAGCGTGTCAGATTCATTGCGCTTCTTCCACCGGTGATGTAAAGATCACCGTGATACGAGCCAGCAATGGACAGGGTGCAAATGGTTGCAAGGAATGCTTCCAATGCTCTTTGCTTTGTGTGTATCGCGTATTGTTGGTTGGACTTCAATCCTTATCGCTATCGATTGGCACTCTATCACGTATTGCACTTATAAGGTTAAGTTTGACTTTTTCTTTGTTCTATTTTTAACCGACCTCAAAAATAGATGGTTCTCAGTTTTGCCTGTATGTATGTTTGTGCGCAATTATCTCACGATAGACTGAACCGATTTTGATGCAGTTTTCAGAAAAGTGTTTGTTATACTTAGGAGAAGGTTTCAGAATATTACATTAACCGACTTCAAAAAAGAGGGGGTTAAAGTAGTTTTTTTAACATAACATAACATAACATCACGCCTTTTATCCCCGAAGGGGTAGGCAGAGGTGCACACAGAAGTAACACCCACTTTTCACTATTTATGTTATGAGTCCCAAATAATAGGGAGTGAGCCTATTGCCATATACCGGGCACAATTCCAGACTCCGTGCTACTACTGAGATTATTTAAAAACTCAGTAATACTTTGCCCGACTCGGGAATCGAACCCGAGATCCCTTGCCCGGCAGTCGCAATTTCGACCACACTAAAAGGCATGATGTTGAGTTTTTAAATAATCTCAGTAGTAGCACGGAGTCTGGAATTGTGCCCGGTATATAGCAATAGGCTCACCCCCTATTACATGGGACTCATAACATAAATAGTGAAAAGTGGCATTAAATGCCGTAATGTGCACCTCTGCCTACCCCTTCGGGGGTAAAAGGCGTGATGTTATGTTGTGTAAAATCATAGATGTCATATTCCTACCAACTTGATTATTTATTTGTTCCAGTTATGACCCTATATTATCTGTGTTGCGTAGGCTAAGAGATTAGACCAACTTGTTTATAACAAAAGAGTTTCTAGGCCAGTAGTGACATCAATCTCTTTCAAGCGCTTGATAATTGTGTGGGTGGAACTGAAGGAATTGTTACAAGAAAAGTATTTTGTTGTTCATACAAAACCTACAGTTCTTTTTTTAAATGTTGCCTCATTTATTGAGATTGTCTTCTCTGCAGTGAGTGCGTTTACAGACACAAAGTATCTAATATATTTTCACATGCACATTAGTCAGGCCCAGAATAACAATTTTAGATAACCAAAATCGAACGAACAAGGTTCGATATGTTTCTTCTTTATGTACCAATTATTGGGTTAGTAATACAAAACAAAGTATATTTGAAACTTAGTCAGCCTAGTATCATCATCTTACTAGTGGATACCTTATACTGCCTCGTTGGCGGAGTAGTCGCAAATGCTACTGCCGGGCAAGGGGTCTCGGGTTTGATTCCCGGGTCGGGAAAAGTACCTATTACTGAGTTTTTTTTAATTCTCAGTAGTAGCACGGAGTCTGGAATTTTGCCCAGTATATGACAATAGGCTCACCCCCTATTACATGGAACTCATAACATAAATAGTGAATAGTAGGTGTTACATTGTACCGTGGCATAATGTACACCTCTCTACTCCCTTTGGGGATAAAAGGCATGATGTTATGTTATTTATATTATAAACGCGAAAGTTTGTGAGGATGTATGTATGTATGTGTGCGTGCGTGTGTGTGTGTGTGTGTGTGTGTATGTTTGTTACTCATTCACGTCAAAACTGCTGAAAGGATCGAGATGAAATGTGGAACAGGGATAGGTTATGGTCTGTAATAACACATAGGCCACTGGCAGAAGTTAGTACTTCTTAACTCGTCGAGTACCGGTTTTGTAGACACAATTATAGAACAATAGGTTGCGGTCACCGGTGACCGCTTGGTGTTTGACAGTTTAAATACATCCAAATCTGCTGCCTTACCAAAAACAAAAATAAAATCTCAAAATTAACTTTACATTCATCATCCCTCACTAAAATCGCCGAACCGTGCAAGCAATTGAAAAACGGGAATTCGTTTTACACCTGCCAAACGTCGTATAATACCGCCATATTGTTTAAACGGCTACCGGAACCGGACACAGAGATATGCAAACGAAACTATCGGCTCGTGATGAGTTTTACTGAAAAAATATTTACAAACGATTTAAATTGACTGAAATAGCAGTTTTGTAGCGAAAACATTGGTAGTATCGGATTAAATGTTTTCAGACTTTTATTTAGTCCATTTTAAGCTAGACTCATTCTAGCTTAAATTGACTATAATATGTATAATATGTATATCTATATATGTCAAGTTTTTTTAAGGAGTAAAAATCATCGAATTACTGCTCCCGCCTGGGTGAGGCGAAAGGGAGTGTCAAACTCTTACTGACTAAAAACCACCCCGTTCCTTCTCTTGCACTTCGACTCGGAGCCCGTTAGGTTCTCCGCAGCTCCGTATCCGTGGTGATATATGTCCAATAGCAATCGAAATGATAACAATTAATAAAAATTTTAACGCATCATGCACAATTAAATCATGATTTCGTTGTTTGTTTTTTAATTTAAAATGATGTCACTCATTTGACAATATTTTCTTTGTTTTGTCATTACAATAATGCTATGAAGTCAGAGTTTGAAAGTTCAAAGATGTTTACGAAAAATCAATCATGACTTTTCATCAAATGCTAGCTCATTATTACCTGAATTCATAAATAACAGAGTTCATTTCGTATCAGTCATTAGCTATAACATTCGCTGAACGGACATAAAACTTAGACTTGATCGAATTTTTATTATTATGGTACTTAAAATCACATATTAAATGGGATAAATAAAGATAAAATTTAATGTTTCTTTGCTTTGTTTAAATAGTCATTAATTGAATAAATGATTGCGAAATATTATTGCATTTATTTCACCCGAAAGACATTACCAATAATACATGTAAATACAAAACAAATGCTCAATAAACATACCCTCAATAAGAGCCACTGAATCAGTTACCTCAATGCCCCTATAACACCAGCAACATTAAAAAACCTCGTAAACACTTTACTGATCTCGCTAAAACTCCACAGGTAAAATCAACGGCGCCAAAAATGGATCGCAACGGCTACTTTTTCTACGTGACATCAACTGCGAAGAAAAAGAAAATCAACTTGATGCAACCAAAGCCGCCTCGAGTGGCGTTCGTTGAGGAAAAGCGTCGGCCAGGGGTGGCTGAGAGAATTCACACTGGATATGCCAGTGTGGCACCGTCTGCCACGGAGAACGGACGTGGTGACTCTATGTCGCAGCGAGGCCCGTCGCCCGCGCCACGCGCGCGTTTATACACGCAACTCGAGAGTTATCAACCGAGGTACCACACGATTCGTGATAACAGTGATAAGAGAGTGGAGAGTGAGTGTAAGAGGAGGAAGGAGAAGAGGATTGTTGGATACCCGCAGCCGTCTCCAGTTGTCAGGTTAGTGTTATTTTGATTAGTCTTCAAATTAATGTCTAAAGTGTGTGCATATTGTTCTATTTTTCGATGAATTCATTTTCAACAGAGTAGTAAAATTTCAAAAATTAATATAATAATTTAATATAGGTACATAGGTAGTAGTACCATAACCATATTTTATAATTCTGATTTTAATTATGAAATAAATTAATGCATATTCTTACTATACCTTCTTAAGAGTAAGTATTGATAACTCCAGTTTCTTAAATCAGTATTTTTTTAATATCAAGACTAAGAAAATATTTTCTTACTGATAACAAATTTTAATATCAAGCAATGTGGAAATATTACATCTACCTATAAACTACGGGTTAAAGTCGGTATAAAATATGGATCAGATTTAGGTATAGGTATCCTAGCTTACAAGCAACCCCTTTTCATTAAGTTAGCAAGCATTGTTACTGATGAATGTGTAAATAAGATGTGACGGCTCCTCGGCTATTATTCTAGCCTTTATTAATGGTTGTTACTCTAGTAGGCTGGGAACTAGCTTGCTTAGGTTTGGAAGAAATAAATTCAATTTAAATTAATGAGTATGAATTCTAGTCTAGAAGAATTTTGTTTATGGAATTAGTAATTGTACTTTTAGTTATTGGGTTTGAAATATGAAAAGAGAACATTCAAAATAGAGTTATTGTAACTCGTCGTGTTAGTCATTAAATAATAAACTTAATTTCAATCATCAGTTAACACTTAACTGTAAAATAAAATTGACATTTGACAGTTTTTAGTATGGAAGAATTGTCAAATATTATAAGTTATTACCGAAACATCGGCCCTTAGGTAAATTAGTTATCGAAATAAAAATAAGTGTAACTTAGATCATCCTATATTTCCTCTTACAGTTTTAACTTTAATATTAGTATTTAATTACAACAAACTAATTGACATAAATACCTAATGGCTGTGTACTCAAAAATATAGGACTTTACTACGTTCTATAAAAACTAAAACCAAACGTAAAAATAGCTCTGAATAAGTAAAATTATGTTTAACACTTTCCATAATAAAAAGAAATCAACAAATTACATACAGATCGTCGACTTACAAGGCTATAAGCAAAACAGTTTTCAGGAAAGTTCCAGAAACTTTCACAAAAGATTTTTATCGACCCCTCCTTTGTTAAACTCCATGAAAGTTACACAAGTTTTTAACCTTTTTACAAGTTCTCGAAACTCCTTTCATTGTTTTTTTCTTAATATTACTTCATGTTCTGTAGTTTCTGACTTTTGCGGTCCTTGATCTTTATTTCAGTCGTGAATTTGTCATGTAATTTACAGTGATTCACACTTTATTACAAGTTTCTTGTAGGTATTGACTGCAAATGGACTTAAACAGGTTTTGTTATGTTTTTTTTATTTACGTGGGCTTATTTTGTATTTGTCTTTTTTGTCTGTTATACTGACGTTTAGATTATAACTTTCGTAGGACATACTAAATTAATTATTGTTTTTCTGCTTACTCACGTAACTATTTGACGAGGAACTCGACTAGTTTCAAGCCATGCTAGTGGCTCATATTCATGAGCAGCCTTCCGCGACCGAGTTCCTCGTCAAACAGTTACGCGAGTAAGCCGAAAACATAATAATTAATATACTGAAGTCGATCATAGTGCCTTACTTTCTATAATGTTGCAGTAAATGACCAATTCATTAAAATGATTATTTTATTAGGTTTATAATATTAATATTACCTCGTTGGCCGAGTGGTCGCAAGTGCGACTGCCGGGCAAGGGGTCTCGGATTCGA